TGACAGACTGTTCACACTCGTTTGTTGATTTATTTAATTTCTCTTCAGGTGTACATACACCTGAAGAGATGGCAGCAAAATATGCCAGGCAATAAATTGTACATCGTCATTATTTAAATTCACAATGGAAACCATTGCTTTGAATTATCCGCTACAACCACTACAGCTACGAATGGTATAGTCAAAATCAACTTCTGCTTGAAAAGAAGTTTTTGTTTGTTCTGACCGGCTGTCAAGAAATGATAGCCAAATGGTACAATAATTTCAGTGCACACACATATGTATTAAAAAGTCACATTTTGTCACACAAAATAACCACCTTTCACTTACAAAACCATCACAACTTTTCACAAGCAAAATAATCACAACTTTTCCCGCACACAATAATCAATCATGACTTTTTACACACACAATCATAGCTGTTTTTTTTTTTAAAAATAATCTTCTGAGATTTTCAGCACACAGCAAAAATTCTTGCAGTGATTTTCTCTCCATTAAAGCACAAGACCGAATACATGAAAATTACATTTCATGATCACAAATGCAAACAGCATTTCTTATTTGACTAGAAGACAAGAAATAGAAAATGTGAGTATTTAATATTAGGCCATAACTCATTTGATCCTGGTTCTCTTGCACCTGGCGGCGTCAGTATGGAGTTTCAACAAGAGATTGCCTGTCTTATATACTTTACATGGCAGGGCCATTCAACTAAGTCTACTCAGCGGCCAGAATGCTGGAAAATGGCGGTGGTCGTGGGCCAGAGGCTCCAGCTCAGCATACAAAGTCAGTATAATCCTCTTCTTCTTTGTTCACCGGCTGTGAGTTCTGATGGAAAGTCCTGGCTATTCATCCAACTGGCTTTGTTTTGCGCGAACATCTGTTTTACTAGGTTATTTTTTTTAGCAGCTTGTTGTTCCTTGCGCCACGGGCAAATACTTTCCAGCTTTGAAGGAAGCTCCCAATTAGTCGACTCCTATGACATGCCTTTATTTTTTGGGTAGGCCGTTTTCCCCACAATGGTGCACTAGAACCCACACGGACAGTCAGTATAATACAACTGGGAGATGATCCATGGCTACTTGCTAAGCCTCTGTGGGCCAAACTTGGCCCGCGAGCCACCAACTGAATAGCTGTGCCATGTGGGATGCAGAGGCGTTGAACCACGCATGGTTCACATCCGTCAAGACTTAGCTGTGTGATCATCCTAGAAACAGGTTCCAAACTGGAAGCCCAGCCAATGTAGACAGGATCGACATTTTCTTTGAATCAGTGCACATGACTTAGAGGTAAAAAACCAACAGCCTGGACACACACACAAAAATCAGATCTGTAAAACAGATCAGTATGCAACACTTAGGCCTGGAAGAAGGTCAAAGTCCAGAAGCCGACCAACAACCAGGACTTTCCACTGCAGTTTACAGTATGAACAAGAAGAATATGAAGTCCTCCATACACGCGGGTTCCAAACAGCTCTGTTATTCCCTCTGTCCACCATTCGATGCTTGGTATCTGTTTCTATTATTGTTTGGTTTAAGCATCTTTACTCATTGGGTAAGCTGTCTGCTGATGTGCTTTACAAAAGAGACTGGATGTCACTTTGCTCAACAAAAGCTCAGCATATTAGACTACAACATCTAGTTTAAGAATGTAGGTGGAGGCAGTCACTGTCCCCTTCCACTGGCTTTAGAGCTAGCCGTGCACACACAGCATAGTTGTAACTGGCTCACAAAGCATGCTTAGAAAGGGGAGACAGGTGTGCTCCATGCAGAGTGGCAAGCATCACTTCTCAGGTTCCAGGTAGTTAATATGCTGTGGATATTTTCCAATGTGTGTGTGTGTTAGGAAATGAACAGGCAGAAGGACTGGCTGGTTCTGCACCACTTGGTGGTGAAATGATGCGCGGCAAGCTAGATGTTGTAAGAGTCCTCTGGAAGCGAGTAAACAGTGCAGAGCCACAAATGGATCATCATTGTCTGAGGAGAATGATGTTGAGAGGAGAGATCAGGGAAATGGCCAAAGCTCAACACTCAGGGTAATAGTGAGACTATACAGTCAGACTGTTGCTAGTACTATCTAAACTGAAATTCTACACTTGCTGCTGATGAGGGGGACAGAGTGCTTATGGGCGTGTCCCTTGTGCTGTGATGTTGATTTTTAATTCAACATACCTACGGGAATTCCCACTGACTCTGTCATCTCCTTATTGTTCACATAGTTGGATACCTTTTATTGGTCTGTACATCTTTGCTCACTGTAGCACACTGATTGCTTGTGCGCAAATGTGAGTTTACAGGGACTCTTGTTATGCCAACTATTTCTCATTTACATGGTTGCCCGCTCTTATTATTTCCACCAGTTGGCGATAAACACCCGGTGACACAAAGTGCTACCATTCTGACGAGGATCACCTGGGGACAGGTCTCAGAAACCCTGATCAACCCATAGGTTGGGTTATAATAGGGCTCCCGGGCACAGCTTTAAAACAACAAAATGTTGCTCCTGACAATGGGACGTACTTGTGGTCCAAACATTACTGCTCTTTATGATATGCTCTCGGCATATCAGTTCACAAAATGTTAAAACAGTTACACTAGGACACAGTCTGCAATTTCATGTATTCTTCTTCTTATAGTCAGTTCTGAATTGTTTGATTGCCATGCTTGCTCACAACCGCCTGCCTTGCATGTTGTAAATCAGCTCTTAAAAGAGGTTTTTTTTTCCATATAAATATCAAGCTGTCTAGCATCTTCTCTTCTCCACCAATTTATCTTTTGTCATGAGATTTTTCAGTAGCTTTCCCATTTTGTGAGAAGCAGCTGCCAAGCTCTCACCCAAAAGACCAAAATTCAAATCCTCACTAAAGTCGATGAATTACTTTCTGTCAGGGCAAAATAAAAGCGTAATCTTCACAGTTCATGGCAATTACTCTAGCTGTGCAGCCCTAAATTCTCTGATTCAAGAATCCCCCCCCCCCCCCACGTATACCACCCTAAAAATTAGTAATTACAAGCAGTAAAGTACCCTGCCCATCTTGTAAGTCCAAAGAATATGATTTTGTTTTCAATACAACAGACATATTTCACAAAATTAATTGCTTTTACAAATTGTTCAATATTCTCCCTATTGGTTCAACATTTTCTCTACACAATTACAAAGGAAATAAATGTGCTAGTCACTTTTTTTTAGCTCCTTAATATCTAAACTGCTCCAGTTGCTATGTCACCAGAATTCTTGCTATGTCAGGTAGAGATGTCAGCAGAATTCTTGCTATGGCAGGTAGAGATGTCAGCAGAATTCTCGCTATGCCAGGTAAAGATGTCAGCAGCAATGTTTTCCAAATGTGTCAGTTTTTCATGAAGAATTTCAGAAGATCTGCAGGTTGCATTTTGTTCCTAAACTCACCCCTAGCTAAACTGTCGTAGTTAAAGTTCATCAACAATCAGCAAGTCCTTTACAGAACGTCGCTCTTATCACAGCAAGCCTGGAAATTCTCTCTTTTTCAAGCCAATTCTTCAGCCCATTGTGCTTTCATAGCAAGTGCATCTACATTGTCCTATATCATCCTGCTTGTCTCTGCCTTATTTTCTGGAAACTCCATTATCAATCTCTCTAGGACACAAAGGTGTTTAACACCACCAAAACAGCTCAGCTTTCAGAATAGCAAAGATAAGGTTCTACCTATCTATCATCTTTCTCTGCTTAATGCTGTTGAGTGCCACAGCTAGGGCTAATAATTGTTTTCCGGGACAGTGCGCGCTCGTTAGCTTGCTGCCTGGTGTAGTCCAGGTTGCAGCAAGCTGTTAACTCCATCTATCCATTTTTTGTGTGCGTCTCAACGTTTCCATTCCCATGACATATACTACTGCAATCGGTGATGCTGCGTTCATTTTGACCAGATGCCAAACCATTTCAGTCTTTGTTTTTCAATAAATCTAATTACAGGTGTGAGCTAATGTTACCAATCAATATTTTTGACAATAGTGTGAGTCCCATTGAGTTGTGATTTGCAAAGCATTACAAAGCAACAATGTCATTTTTACAGGGCAGGTTCAAATTCAGCTGAAGTATGGCCTTTAGCCTGGTGTATTCTCTTATACTTATTTCTCCTCGTCTGTCATGCAGACAATGCTAACAAAAACTGATACATTTTAAAAAGTCTACATTATTCTTACTTTGTAGCTAAAGTCAAAAGTGTACAGAAACATGAACTATCTTAAAGTATTTCACAGTGAATGAACATCATAAATGTTCTAAGTTTCACAATATCAATTTAGTAACAGGAAAAGATAACTTTTTCAAAACAAACAGCAATAAGAAGAAGAAAAAACTGGCAGGATGATATTTCTGTTCAACAGACACTAGCAGTTCAAAAGAACTTTCATTTTAGGTACACAAGTATGTTATTGCTTGAGGGTAAAAAAGTATTACTATACATTTAAAGTACCATGAAACAGGTATCTTAAAAACAGTTTTGTCAGCACACTGTCTAAAATCTGGCAACATTTACGCATCACCATGTGCCCTGTTGACACGTGGCTGAGCATGCCTCTCTACATCTTGCGCCATCAAGAACATGTGGCAACGTACATGCATTACAATTTGCCTTGTCGACTCGTGGCTGTCACTTTCCAATGATGATTGTAACAAGCTGTGTTTGCATTTTAGCTTCTTTCAAAGACTGTGAAGATGAATACAGCAAAGGGCTCTGTATCTTGTCTAGGCTGATAGACTTTTGATTATTCAACACAGAATAGTCATTGTGAGCTTGTGGAGGTTTTGAGAAGAAGACCGAAGCACCTGTGGAGCTGTCTGGGATGCTGTGATGATAATCCTTGGGAATCACAACATGCAGATCAGGAGAATTATTTGATACACTTAAATTCTCTAAGATCTGAAGAAACTACAAAGATCTTTTGTGTAATTCTCGGATTAATTAATTTAATTTAATATCACTTCGGCCAAGGATCTTGAAAAACTGGGCAGGCTTGTTTCATCCATTATGGATAGTAATACCACAAAAACCTGAAAAACGAAACAACATAATGTTCAATAAACCTCTATCATGGTACAAATTTATTATTAAGATAGTGGTGTATCATCGACGTGTGATATTTGTATCAAGAGATAAATTTATCATCACATGATATGTCTAACATCAGACGATATGTGTATCATCATGTGATGTTTGTATCAACATGTTATATGTGTATCATCATGAGATCAATGTATCATCATCAGATATGTGTATCATGAGACACATGTATCATCATGAGATATGTTTATCCACAACCACAAAGGCATATAATCAAAACAGAACATAAGAGTACCCTCATGGCACAGATGTATCATCAAAGCATATGTGTAATATGCCATAGTCACATGGCAATCAGGTTCTGTCTACAGATCTCAGTCAGTAGTGTTCTGGATCAATTGTGATAATATTCCCCTGTGCCACCATATAAGCCCATCCAACATGTTTCTATCTGCCTGCTTGTATCTCTTACCTTGTTCAACATACTGACCTAACAGCAATGCTTGTCTTAGACTTATCATCCCGCAGCAGGTTCTTTGCAGAATAGTGCTCTTATCACAGTCTGCCTGAAAGAAAACTCAGTCTCTCATCAGATCTCTGACCTCAAGCACCCTCCTACCAGAGGTGTCACTGATACAATGTGCTCATCTTCATGTCACTGATACAATGTGCTCATCTTCATGTCACTGATACAATGTGCTCATCTTCATGTCACTGATACAATGTGCTCATCTTCATGTCACTGATACAATGTGCTCATCTTCATGTCACTGATACAATGTGCTCATCTTCATGCTGGTTGGCCCCTGCCCCTCCTTCCTGGCACCATGCCTTCTGCTATTATGTTTTCCAGTCTGCTCTGGTGCCTGATATGGCCAAAATATTTAAGTTCCCAAGATAAGATGCTATTTACTAGTCAAACTTTCTGATTTCTATACCATGTGGTGCATTAGGGAAAACTGTTTTTTCAGAGAGAAAGTATTAGTCAGTCCTAAGACATCACAGTCACACCCTAGGATATGTAAAAATGTCAAAGGATACACCAGAGGGCACGGACAGATGTCTCAATGCAATGTTATTACATTTCACCTACACAGGCCAGATTTCCTCTACACACAATATCATATTTGTAATAACATGGAACATACCACCAGATAGAAACATCGTTGGAATGGTCTGACATGTAGACATCCATGCTGGCAGGTGGCTTCCCAATGTCCACCAAGACTTTCGTGTAAAGACGACCCTCTGTGACTTCTTTCACGGTGTAGTTCATACCCACTGGGTCATTCAAACCATCTCTAGGCCACCGTTTTTTCCAGCCCAGAAACATTTCATTCCTGGAAGAAGAAATAGACAATTTTATAAAAGAATACTGCTACCATTAAAATACAATAACAAAAGACTCCCTTCTTAACAGATAACATAGGTCTTCAAAATGAAAAAAAAAAAAAATGGTTCATACAAAGTAAAATAATAAGGTCTATCATACACACAAAAACAAACTCCAGTTTTTCAAGATAATGACAATCGACTGTGTTATTTTTCTCTGGCTGTGAGTTCTCTGGCATTATTCTGTTCCCTCATCATAGGCTGCTATTTTGTGTGAGTTTCATCTGCAGGACACACTAGATTTTGTTGTTGTTGGGGCGGCCTCTATTGTGGTTGTGCTATGTGGGAGCGGAATGGTGACTAACAGTTCTGGCAGGCTCAAACATGCTGTTATCACAATGTGTTGATCATGGTCCCCTACTATACGAGAAAACTTTATCTCGTAAGCGGGGCACAGCAAACTGTCTTGAGAGCAAACTCAATAAAAGCTGTTACCAGAAACAGAACGTGCCAACCATTTTTTCTGTGGTAAGGAATAGACACACACAGTTAACTCAATGGCCACACATAAACAAATTTTGTTTCTACCACATATTACCCATCATAAATGTTGCAGAAGAAGACAGCATTAGTATGCAAATGCTGTTTATCAGTTTACAACAGGCAGTAAAGACAAAAGCTGATACAAAACTGATCACCTACCCATGTTCTGAACGTGTCTCCTTAGTGTGTCTCACCATCTTGAACCTGCCTATGTGAGCTGGAGGTCTTGTTAACAACAAGCCCGACTCTTGAATCCTAAATAAAAATAAGTTTAAAACCACATTTCAGTAAGCATATGTTTAGTCAGAGATTGTGAATCTGCACCTAAGATATATTCTTACTGTCTATGCACTGGTATCATATGCACCACCTTAAATCTCATGTATGTCAACAATTTCTAATCCCAATCCAGATATACTTTCATGTCATGACGTCAAACTGTACAACACTGCCTCTCTTGGTCTTTTTCTGCATCACTTTATCTCTTCTTTTTTAAAATCTGGCATGCAGGAGTGTTCGCAAATGAACAGGCAGATAGATTGGCTATTTCCGCACCAATGTGCGATAAATTTATGCATGACAAGCTAAATGTGGTCAGGCCCCTTGGGAGCATATGAACAATGCAGAGGCGCGAACAGATATTTATGGTCTGGAAAGAATGGTACAGCTAAGAGTGAAATAGGGATTTGGTCTGAGGCAATTTACACTCTGAGGAAAGGCAAGACAATCAAATAATCAAACTGCTACTGGCACAAGTGGAACTCTTTGCTGGCTGCTGAAGAAGAGGACGGCGCACTTATAAGAATGTCCAAATGCTGTGATGTGAATTCTTAATTCAACACTCAACACACTGTTAACTTTCCCAGGCACTGCAGAAAAGATTTCCTCAGTGGGTGATCAGATGAAACCTGTAGGGCCTCACATGTGGCTAAGAAAATGCAGGAAAGTTACAGTAAATCCCCATGACGGGGGTCAATAATCAACACCCATGTACCCACACACACACACTGTCTAATTTATCCTGGGTGAATTGATCAGCTTTTACAAACAACATTACATCAGCTACAAAACTAAAAACTCTTCTATAAGTCATAAAGAATAAACAACTCGAATCAACTAGGTTTTAACAAAAACACTGACTGCCTATTCCTGTCCAGGTTAAAGGATATGGAGGGGAGTAGGTGCTACCTGGACTTGCCAGGCATTAAAATGTCACTAAGAGCAGATGTATAAGTGATCAACACAGAATACATGTGTGTCAGTCATCTTACGCCTGCAGTGATATCGAGAAGGAAAAGGTAACATCTAGGGTACTGGTATTCACTAATTACGAACAAGAATAACAACAACAATTCAGTAAATTTTCAAATAGTTATGCTTAACACTTTTAAAACCCTCCCCCCCCCTCCCCCCCCCCAAAGAACGTTTCAGATACTCTCATAAACTTTAACCAGCTCTGTAGATTATTCTTACCTTGCCGAGAAATCATCATCCTCATTTCCCCAACCCCAGTAGGAGTTTGAGTAGCCATTGATTCTGCGAAAGTTGTGTCTGTTCATGGCAATAACTCCACCAGCATAGTTGTAATACATCACACTGGAATTGCAACATTTTTGACAAAACATTACTCATCATTACTTAATATCTACATTTAAAACAATAATGGCACCAAACATTATCCCAATCTTTTGAAACCAGATCCTTGGGACAAAATCTAAAAATCTCAGAGCCCATACAAAGATATGAACAGCGAAGAATAGAGAGGGAAAAACAACAACAAACTTCACAATCTATTTCAATTATCACTTAATACTCGCATCATGAGGACTAATAGTTGACTACTAAACCTGAAGCACATAGACATATGCAGAAAATGGCAGACAGCAGATAGCCCCTGTGTCTCCTGTAGAGACATTTCATCCGGATTGGCACTGAAGAACAATCTCTATGAGGTCTCTGCAACAGAGCTACCCTCCCCTTCTCCAAGCTTAGACACCACCAGTATGTGCCAGATCGGCACAGAGAATTCACTATCGGTAGTTAGGCCTATAGCGGCGTCCGTGGCTAAGGCGTTGCGAGTCCGACTCGTAAGCCAGCATACCGCGATCGAAACCCACTGCAGGCTGTGTGGATTTTTGTCGTGGTATGGGACGTCGCAGGTCGACCCAGCCTAAAATGGGTACCAGGATGGGCTGTCCTGGGAAAGTAAAGACAGCCGGCGTAATGCTGACCACATTACCCACAGAGTGCTGATGGTCTGTAAAAATATGGGACGCTCTGCCCATATGCCCCGAAAGGCGTGAAAAGGGAACTTTACTTTTTTTCTTTTTTTTTAGTTAGGCCTATCTCCTTCCTCTTCAGCATATGAGCCTTGAGGTTTAAGTTCAGCAGATATCAGACGTCACTATTTATCGTTGTGACTGGCTCTCTAGCCAGTTGGGCGACTCCAAATGTTTTTAGGTCTGCTTGGATATTCTCTCCCCATTATCTTCTTGATCTGCCTTGTGGTCTACAGCCATTCAACTTGTGTAATACAGTTTTTGCCTCTCTGTCATCCTCTATATGCGCCATACATTTCAGTAAAAGCCCTCATGATGCCAGTGATCAATGGTGATATAAACAGATTAGGCATTGCTCGCTAATGTTTTCTTCACGAGTTGTTTGCTATTTCATTGTCAAGAGATTCCAACCATGCCTGGACACAGATGGTTAAACAAAAAGACATAGCTATGACAGATATGTCGGAGGAAAAGACCTCGTGTGGGTTCCAGGGCCGTATTTTGGGAGAAACAGGAATAGACTGCTGCTCTAACTAGCATGTCATAAAATGTGATGTCGCGTGCGAATGTGCACTAGAACGCACCGGTACTGAGTGAGCAAATAAGACGTCAAAACAATACGTCAGGTTGTGAAGGAATTGTATTCTAGGAGATGAAAGTCGAAGTTTGACCAAGGCGGACGGTTGGTCCGGCCTGGTGTGGATCCTTGAGGATGCTTTACCCCGGGATGCCACGGTGGATCCTTGAGGACGTTTTACCCCGGGATGCCACAGTTCGGCAGTAAGCCGGTATACTTTGCAGTTGATGTTTACAGTCCAAAGATGACTGTCTGGATCTCAAGGTCGGACTGCGACCTATCGTGAGGAAAAATCAGTCCATGGATGCACGAGCGGGCTTTTGTTGATGTGCTTGAATGAGTATGAATTATTGATTTAATATTTCTCCTTGTGTTGATCATCGTTATTGTCAATACACAAATAGAACTTTTAAAGAGAGTTCTTGTTTCGCTACGTTTGGACGCTTCAGCATTCATCATGTTGTGTTACTCTTGGCCAGTGGCATGTTAAGTGTTGATGCCATTTGTTACATTGCGACACCCCTAGTCACTTTTACGCTCGTCACAATCAATGGTCGCACGTCACATGTGACCAACTGGGGACTTTGCCTTCAAGTCAGTGCATCTACCTGAGAGGTTAGGAACCAACAGTCTGCATACAAACAAGCCAGAGGAGTTTAAAAAAAAAATTTTACAAAAAAAAAAAAAAAAGAGATATGCATGCAAAACTTAAGTTCTGGAACAAGACTAAAGTCCAGAAGTGAATGAACAACCATAACTTCCCAATTGGGTTTACAGCTGGTAACCTCTAAGAAGAAGGAAGAGGATGGGGAAGAACAGGTAGAGGGAGACCAAAATGAGAAGATAGTGGACACCTGGGCATCATGGCATGGACTGACAGCATATGAGACAGAAGGCTGTAAACAGATATGATTACCAACACCACACAGCAGGGTCAAAAAAAAAGAACAAAGACAACCTTCGTAACATGGACCATAAAACACAAAACAAATAATTACTACCATCATGTGCCATGCCAATAAGAATAGGCCATCCCACAAACACCAGAATCATAGATTAAGTCAAATTTTTTTGTGCTGCCCCACCCACAAGGCTGAACCATCAAAGTATTTATTTCTTTGCCTTCCCCTTGCTTTTTCTACATCAGTATTTATCTCTTTGTCTTCCCCCTACTTGCTCTTCATCAATTTGTATTACTCTGCATTTCCCCTAATTGTTATTCATCAGTGTTGATCTCTCTACTTTCCTCTTACCTTTTCTTCAATAATGTTTATCTGCCTTGCCCCTGCTTTTTCTTCATCAATATTTATCTCTGCCTTGCCCCTGCTTTTTCTTCATAAATTTTTATCTCTCTGCCTTCCCCTCACTTTTTCTTCATCAATATTTTATCTCTGTCTTCCCCCTACCTTTTCTTCATCAATATTTATCACTTTGTCTTCCCCCTGCATTTTCTCCATCAATCTTGCCAGTTTTAAGCAAGTCCATTCCTTTTAAAAAACATGTCCAAAAAACACTCCATTCTTATTTCTCTAATCATTTTATTATTTTCATCCATTTCGAGAAGGACCTATAAAATAATACAATAACATTTAAAGATAACATTAAAATTCCTGACAAAATTACAACAATGATCTTACTGGTATCTCATCTCATCAATGGCGGAGGCTAGATGCCGAGCATATTCGTCACAAAGATACAAGTTTCTATTGTCCTCAGGCAGAAGGTCCACATCTTGAAACACCATGCAGTCAAAGTGTCCCAGCCGCAGAGCCTCCAGGTAACCAACATTCATCAGCTTCCCTCTGTTAAACTTATCAGTCCCAGCCTGGACATAAGCAAACACAATACGTCATCAGACAGTTTTCACTTGTATACCCAAATGCCTTATAACAGTCGCATCTGTTAATGTTGGCACCTTTTATCTTTCCAGACAATAGGGTTCTACTGTGCTATAGGGAGACACTGGAACCACAGACCATGGTGATTTCGATTAAAGGCGGGAAAGTTCTTCGTCAACCCAGGACAAAACCTAGGAACCACAGAACATGGTGATATCAATTGAGGCCGGGGATAAAGTTCTTACTCACCACAGGACAAAACCTAGGAACCACAGACGATGGTGATAAGGCCGGGAATAAAGTTCTTCCTCACCACAGACTAAAAACCTAGGCAGTACTGTTAAGACCACATGTTGCCCATGCAGCACGATCCCATCTCGGCCTGTTTTATCAACTCCAAACTAAGGGTAACACCAATTTAATGATTTGGTGAGTTTTCCTTTCATCAGACTCCCTTCTTTCAGTGAGCATTCAGATGATCTGGCTGACACCACAGCTACTCTAACTGGCCTGGCAATGAACAGGATTGACATCTACATCAAGAAAGAGAGATATTGCAAAATTGAATACAGCAATGAACGGGACCGTGTGTCTCTGACTAGAGTAGTGAATATGGGGATGCCGCTGGAGCTGCCAGACACGAATATTTCATTAACTCTTTGAGTCCCAGTGGATTTGCATCACAGGCCCAGGGGGTATTAAAGAGAGTCATAAAATCGACCCATCATGTGTTCATTGGGCTTCTAGGTAGGAACCTATGAACGTATGATGCGTTCCTTGGGACTCAAAGAGTTAAGGAAATAATATGTTGAGTTAACCCAGAATGGATGTGATCAGAAAGGTTTTATTTGTGAAACAAGTAAACAGGAGAACAGAGCACCGAAGGATCTGTCCAGAGTGCTGTGATGTTGGTCCTCATCGTTTGCTTAAAAAAAATATAAAGCAGTTAATTGCAGTAATAAAAAGTATAAAAGTCAAGGTCCCTTTTCCACACATTTAGGCGTATAGGGTATATAGGGCTAGACCTATATTTTTATAGATCAATCGGCACAAGATGGGTGATGTGGTCAGCATCATCCCGGCTGCCTTTACTTCCTGGGAGTGCACCCGGTACCCACTTAAGGCTGGGTCGACTTAGCAGTCAAGGTCATTTTTGGAAAAAGTCCGGCTCCGCCAAAAATGAACCCATGACCTTCCAATCCCGGCACGAGTGTTTAGCTGCCACACCACAGTGACTCCCAAGGAAAAAGTGTGTTAAAGTATATTATAGAACCTGTACTGTTGTATACACATAAAACACGGACAATAAGTAGATGCGCGTCTTCTTCTTTTGGATCAATGTTTCCCATGCATCTATTCCAGTATGTGTCACAAAAGGATGGTTCAGTTCAGGTCTTCACTGCTGCTTCATAGTTTATCTTGTAGGGATGCTCAACTGGGCCAGATTTCTTTTTTATGACTGGCAAAGACTTGGCAATCTTTAAAACATGCTCCGAAGTTTGCCTTGGTGAGCCAAAACCACATGCACCAGAGTAAGCAAGACCCATTCAATGTAAGTGTCCTTAGAGTCCAAAAATGTTGATTTGAGCATATCTGCCAAGCCTGTTTATATTGTCATGCTTTGGTCTGTAACTGTTATTCTTCTCTCTCCGGTGTGTCTTTGTCGACTGTTTTAGGAGTCTTTGCCTCTTGAAAGGTGGGCGACTTTAGGTTCCCAGCAGTCTTTGCAAGCTAGTACATAAGCTAAGAAATATCAAAAGGCAGCAGAAATTTGTTGTTTGAGAAAAACAAAGAATATCACAGCCTGTTAGAAAAACGGATTCTTTAATGATATCACAATAATCCACAAATCCATACAATAAAACAAATTCAGACCTGCTCAATGACAAAAATCTTGTAAGCAATCTTCTGCAATTTCAGCATAGGGTGCAAGCGGCGCAGCAGGATGTGCAAATGATGGAGTCGGTCTCTGTATGGAATAATAACTGCAATCCGCTGCCAGGAGCGACAATCTGATGGTTCCCAGGTGCCACCCTTCTCTATATGTGGATTTTCTGCAACAATGCTGTCTTCAGTCGGCTCACCAAAGATGTCGACATCTGCATCACCTGTGTGATAAACAAAAATATATAAAAGATTAACCGGCGACAAGAAAGGGGGAGCTACCACACTACCTCATATGTCACGACTTAGAACATGTAAAGCAGTTTCTTGAATTTCATATTTTCACTGATGTTTTATAGAACTGATTTCCTCTAATCCCTGTTCTATCTCATGAGGCAGAGAAATTTAGTGCAAGCCTTGGCGTGTGTTACATTATGATATTCATCAACCCACCCCCTGTGTATAGGTGATAACGTTCATGGAAAACTCATTAGGAACATAAGTCCACTGGCCAAGTCTTCTTTCTTTTGTCAAAATCTGCTTGTGCCGCTAGGCGTCGCAGTCTATCAGATGATCGGCAACCGAGCCAGGGCGCGCTCATATCGAAATTGCCGTGATGTTATGAAGTCTCAAGTTGTCCGTGACTCCTTCATTCCATCTTCTTCTTGGTCTTTCCCCTGCCTCTTGTTGTTTCGACTTTCTTTCATGTTGTATCTCTTGATGCTGGCATCGTTGGTTCCATTCTCATTAGGTGACCAAACCATTTCATTCTTTGCTTCTCAATAAATTTAACGATGGGTATGGTTCCAATGTTCTTGTAATTCGTTTCTCACTCGATCTCTTCTGGTTTTTATTCGCAGCCATTCTCAAACTCTCATTTCACAGGTGGTTAGTCCTCGTCGTGTTCTTTTGTTAATGTCCAAGTCTGACATTGATAACCTAATGTCGGTATAAAGATTGTATTTATAATTTGTCTTTTTATCTCAGCTGGGACAGCAGGGTGTTTTAAAAGTGGGCAAGCTGGTATGCGACATTGTTGGCTTGTTGGATTCTTGCTTCGATCTCTCTGTCTATTTTACCATTGGATGTAAAGATACTTCCCAGGTATTTAAATTCTTGCACTTGTTTTAGGCTGTGATCTAGAATCTTTATGTCGATGGTCTGTTGCTCTCTACTTATGCTCATGACTTGACTTGACTGGCCAAGTATCTTGTCTTATTGAATAACGACGGACACAGGTTCATCTAAAAGTCCAGCTATGACAAACCTTGGTTTTCTGTAATCACAAATGATGAAAAAGAAAAAAAAAGCAACCGATTAATAATGTGAAGTATAGTACTTTTCTATGTACTGACACCCCCCCCCCCCCCCCCCACAAACATTAAGATGTTGCTTTCCCCCCCCCCCCCCCCCCTCCCAAATGTTCTTCACCTTCCTGATGTCATGATTGTTGAACTTCTCTACAATGGCTTGGATATCCACGTTTCCCTGACTAGCTCTCTCTCATCAGTCTGGATGTGACATCATGGTCCATCCACTTTACCAGTGGCTCTCAACTTCATAATGTTGCGACCCCCAACCATACAATTATATATGTTGCTACTTCATAACTTCAGTAAATATATGTTTTCCAATAGTCAGGCGACCCCTGTGAAAGGGTTGTTCGACCCAAAAAAAAGGGTGGCGACCAATAGGCTGAGAACCGCAGTACTATACTCACACTGAACGACTTCTTCCTGCATGCAAACATGATGAATAAACTACAGGAACGAACTGAAAAGCTAGCCCCCTTTTTTGTTTCCCCACTCTCTTTCTTGTCAAAAGAACTTTCAATTCATTTTTTCATTTGTGTGGCTAGTTATTTATTTAACCTTCTGCCACTATGTGATCAACTGTGATAAATCTACTAAAAATAACAGAAATTATAAATATTTTCAGCTATAAGAAGTAACATTGCTGCCATGAAATATCAAATGCCTCACCTAATTTATCAAATTCCAGCTTGCATCTCCCAACATCAGAATGGTCTAGCTTTGAAAGTTCTATAATACTATTCGGCATTGTCTCGATACAGTGACTGCGATAGTTGAACAAAGCAAACCCCACCAGGCCAAAGTAAACCAAAAAAAGCACTCGTGGTACATAGCGTCGAAGCTTTGCAACTCGCAACTTTGACAAGATTCGCCACTTCATAACGAACAGCGCAAGCTTTCTTGTCCTATGAAATAAATAAATACAAAATAATAAGTCACAAACTGGATGCATCAGGTGTTCAAAACTGACATTCTAAATCTGCTTCTCATTAGTCACAATAACTCCTTATTTTGTTCTCATGTGTTACAAATTCCGCTCTTATGTACCAATTAAATTTTTTTTTTCTCTTGTGTTACCTCAATTTCGTTCCTGTGCATCACATTGTTTCATTCTTCTTCTTCACACTCACTGGCTGTAAACTCAGGCAGAAAGTTCTGAATGTTCAGCTACTTCTGTGCTGCAGTCTTGTTGTAGAACTTAGGTTTTATGTATGTCTCCATTTTTACAAAGCTTTCCTCTCGTGCCAATACACTCCCACTTTAGAGGAAACCTCTAAACAGTCGACTCTTACAACATGCTTGTTAAAAAGTTAGTGGGTCTGTTTCTGTTTTCCCCTCAAAATGGGGCCCCGGAAGTGACACAGGGAATTATTTCATTAAATTTGCACCACATTATTTCATTCTTTATTATTTTGTTCTCATATTACATAAGTACATTATCTTGCACCGCAGTATATTATTTTATTCTCATGTGCTCCCTTATTTAGCTCTTTTTCCTTTTGTCTCTCTAACAAATTTCACTGTCGTTTTTAGTTTACTCAGTGGTCCATGGAGTTTACTTTCCTGTGTTGTTCTTTCTGGCAAAAAGGTTTATTTTAAAGTGTCATATTATATATCTCAAGCGCTAAATTATTTCACTCTAATGTGCTACCATATTATGCTCTCATGTGCAACTTTATTTTATTGTCATGTTCTATATCATTTAGTTCCCATTTGTTACATTATCATGAGCTATACTATTTTATTCTTATCTGCTATATTATTTCATTCACATGTGCTACATTATTTCATTCTCATGTGCTACATTATTTCATTCACATGTGCTACATTATTTCATTCACATGTGCTACATTATTTCATTCACATGTGCTACATTATTTCATTCAAATGTGCTACATTATTTCATTCTCATGTGCTACATTATTTCATTTTCATGTGCTACATTATTTCATTCTCAGGTGCTACATTATTTCATTCCCCTCTGCTACACTATTTCATACTCATGTGTTACATTATTTTATTCTCATGTGCTACATTATTTATTATCAAGTGATACATTATTTCATTCTCATGTGCTACCTTCTTTCATTCTAAAGTTATTTGCTCTATATGCTTCATTATTACACTCTCAAGTACAAAATGGAAAATAATGATCACTATTTATCACATTTATAAGCCTTGCTTCTCCTTGCCCTTTCTCTCAAAGCAGCAAAGGCCCTCAAACAACTCAGGCCAGGTTGTCCTATCCGTTTTTATGGCCTTCAGCACATCCCAGTCCTCCCCAGCTTATTTCATTTTCCTTCTAAATTTTTCCTTTCCTTATGATTTCTTGCCTTTATTCCACTGACCCTGTGATTAAACCATTATGCAAAAGGTCTAAATTGAGTTCCAGTACAAGAACATTCTAGCTATGTTGTTATCAGGTTATCTCAGTGTGTCGTCCTTTCTAACGTCAGCAGTTTTTCTTTACCATTTAATCCAGGAACAGGATATTAAAACACCCATAAAAAGACTATTAGCACCAACCCTTTCTATTTCTCACCGATTTATCACAGTGGGTTAACACCATTTCTTCTGACCCAAAAATAGGCTTTTTGCATATGCAGTAAAAGTATGTATGAGGAATCTAGTCATTGAAAAATGGACTTGGAAAAAGCAACAGAATAAATCAGAGCTCAATGAGGGCATAGAACAAAATGTGTTGGATGCTCATTCCAGTTGACTTTTAACTCAGCAGATGTTACTTTAACTCTTCCACACCCAGACAGTTATTAATTAACTCACTCTTCTGTGTTAGGTTTCTATTTTGGATGATAATTTGTTGGGCATGTTAACATCACAGCTGCGCAACTTACACCATTCAGCCAACACATCCAACTTCTTCAGGCATTTGTTATCTAGCTTAACCTTTCTGGTTAGTTTTGAGGGACACAGGACTATATTTTTTTTCATATGACATTATCCTTACCCCTTAATCCGTTAGTTTTGAGGGACACAGGACTACATTTTTTGTGACAGCATCCTTGCACCTTAATCCGTTAGTTTTGAGGGACACAGTACTATATCTTTTTTTATGTGATAGCATCCTTGTTCCTTAATCAGTTAGTTTTGAGGGACACGGGACTATATCTTTTTTTATGTGATAGCATCCTTGTTCCTTAATCAGTTAGTTTTGAGGGACAACGGGACTATATCTTTTTTTTTAATAGTGATAGCATCCTTGCCCCTTAATCCATTAGTTTTGAGGGACACAGGACTACATTTTTGTGTGACATCATCCTTGCCCCTTAATCCATGACCATGGGCGATGACCCAGCTGATCCGCCTGGAGCAGCTGCATGCATTCTCACAACCATCAAGGAAAGATGGGAAAATAAAATAAACATCTTCAAATGACCCACCCGCATTAGACTACAGGGTACTTCATAACCGTTTGGTGGTTCCCCAATATAACTGTGCTTCAAGTCTGTATGTCTGAATGGGGTTTCTTCGATTCGTACTTGTTTGATTCTCATCCCTGAGATGGAATTCTACAGAGGGAAAATATTTCATTAAACTGTCAGGTTTTCATTTTTGTGAGACTGTGTTGATTCCAGAGCCCTATAAGTCAGGAAAAATAATCCTGTCTCATAGTATGATATGTAATACATTACAGATCCAGTGTAGCTAACTATGTATACTAACTGTGTATATTTTCTTTCACCTTTACTTTTTATAGTATTTATGGACAATATTAATCAAATAGACATAACACCACTAGATAACAAATAAGTTAGTAAAACGGATGTGCACGCAAAACTCAGGCCTTGGCTCAAAACCAAAGTACAAATGGTCGAACAACCAGGACTTTTCACCAGTGAACAAAGAAGAAAAAGAAGAATGTACCACCAAGACTCCACTAATAATTACTGCTGCTACTAACTATTTAAGAAATAATAATTATGTTTATGATAAGGCATTAAAGCTTGTAAATGTGCAAACATGTTAGTGGTTCTTACCCGAAACAAGTCCTCCAGAGGCTATCCACTTAATCTAAAGCATTGTTTTACACATGTGACTGACTGAGTTCACAACAACATATTGTGTGTGTGACTGCGATGCCAGTAGCGTGCTGCTGACGGAACTGATAACGTCAAGCATGTCGCCGTATCTGAACTATCTGTGTCCTTGTGATGCTCACTAAACGACACTTGACCTGAGGTCAATGTGGCTCAATTAAACTCAGTAGGAGTACAACATACCATGGAGGTAGTCGTACTAGAATACTATTTTTTAATACTAAATTATCTTGTTTTTATTTGATAAGTATCTTAGTGTCACTATTAATGATACTTATAATTATACAAATTTAATTTTAATTAAAGGAACTTGTCAACTGACAACTTGCTTGTTGTGATCACTCATTGACTCATGTTGAAAGGAGAGACTACTTATTTATTCCCTATTAATTATATACATTTCATTTTGTTAATTTAATACCGCGTACGCAACAGAACTAACTTTCACTCAAAATGCAGATCGCTCGTCTTAATAAAACACTGATCAATAACCGCGGTCCCGTCCCGGCTTTTAGAAGGGATACTTGATTTCTTACAAATCTAATGAACCAAGTCGGCATTTTGTAAACACTCCTTAAACCGGAAAAGAATTACATGAAAGTTGTTACTTAATGCGTCCCTACTATTTATGGTCCAAACCCCAGTAGTTGATAAAGGGTTTGACGTCAAGTGACAAATCCCCATGCGTGTCCTGTCTCGGGTTGAGCCGGGGGATGGCAGCACAGGCGCATACTCTCCAGATCAACGGTGTACATGGCACTGAGGCTGGAGGGCTTTGTTGCTTACGACACTGAGCTTAATGAGCAATGCTCAAGTGCTTCTGGTTCATCATCATCATGTAGCAGGTCCTTTGCAGCTTAATGATCACAGTCTGCCTGTAAGTGTCTCTTGCCTGTTCTCCCGCCTCATGAACACTCAAGAAGTCACTTATATCCTGTGACCATCTTTGTCGGTCGGACTCTGCCCCTTCTTCCTGGCTACAATGCCTATCTGCTATAATTTTTTCCAATCCGTCGTGGCGCTTGATATGACCAAAATATTCCGAGAAAGCTGCTGTTTATTAGCCAATATCTTTTAGATGTTGTCCAAGATATTCTGAGAATCTTTCTATAGCATTTTAGCTCAAAAGCCCCTATTCTCTTTCTTAAGGACTGAGAGATAGTCCACGACTCACATCCGTATGTAGCCATAGGGAAGATGCATGCTCTCAAAATTCTAATTTTTATCTCCTTGCTGGTGCTTAACCATAGACTTTTAAGGCTGTTCAATTGCTATAGTCATCCTCCTTTTAATTTCTGTCGAACAGTCTCCATTGTTGTTTATTATAGAGCCTAGATATACTGCTTCTGGTTCAGGAAACAAAAGATTTGACTTTCTGGACTCGAGATTTGAGTCCACTGACAACAAAATATCTTAACGTTGTTGAATACTGCTAATAACTCCGAAACTTATTATGAACCCTGGCCTCAGTTTCCATATACATTGTTTAAATGTGCAATTATCATTATTATTATTGTGTGTGGAGTGTCAAATAAGTATCACAATATGCTTGAAATAATATGAAGTGTATAAACAAATACTTATAGATTAGGAAGAGAACTTCTATACATGGTTACCGTCATATGGCCACGACCTTTCGCACATTTTTTTTTTGGGAGGGGGTGTGAAGAGGAACAAAGGCGGGGGTTGGGGGGGGGGGTGCTTCGCCTGTCTGTAAATATTATTAGAGGAGGGCCTTAGATCAGTTCACAATTTTGGGGTGGAGGTGCCTGGGCTAGTGGCGTAGGAATGGGGTGTGTGCTGCCCCGGGTGTCATCACCTG